CCCATTCATCATCGCTTTGTTAAACTCTGGTGTGTCCACGTGGCTCTTGGAGCTGCGACTGCCATGTTTTCTTAGCTTTGGCCCCCTCTCCTACCCTGGAGAGATGAATCTCTTTCTCTCTCTCTCCTATCTCGCTCTCTAATTTATGCACCTGGCTTCATAACCCTCTTGATAACCGAGTTTAGGCAACTCCCCCTACAGTCACAAGGGGGTCTTTACATTTAAAAATGATTGTTAATTAAGTAACACACATAGTACAACATTTGACTAATAAACAAAATTATACCAAGAAAAGTAAGCTGCCCTCTCAATTCCAGCCCTAAGCACCCGGGTGTCTCTCTGGTGTGTCACCCTAGGTTGTCAGTTTTACCCTCCCAGACTTTTGCTTTTCACGCAAAACTCTCCTGCTCAAGAACCCACAACGGCTCCCTATCTCCATGCCACTCCATTTTAATGCCCGACTCCCAAGAGCCTCCCTGCCAATATCCAGTCTCCTTTGCCACTTCTTCACGCAATGCTAGACAGCCCGTCTCATCATCAGGTAAACCACAGCAGGGTTAAATCCCTCCCATGACTTTACCTCTGCTGCTTATCCCATCTGGAGCGCCTTCCTACCCGACTCTTGTTTTGGAAGTATTGCCCACATCCTGCCCCCTCCCTGGCTTTCGAGGTGATTCTGGCCCCTTCGACCGCCCCGGCTGATGGCTCAGTCCCTGCCATGATGTCAGCCCTCTGGCCACCCACCATGTGCTTCCCGCCTAAGTCCTTCCAACAGGGTCTCCTGCTGTCTAAGCATCTGGAGCGCAGGAGCCCTACTGAATGCTTCCTCTGAATCCCACACCCTGCCTCGCCTCAGGGTACACGGGCCCCCACCCTCGGCTAACACAGGGCCTGGCATCGGGTCATCTCCATGATGATGTTTGTGGAGTGACTAAAGGAACAGAGAAAGGAATGAGCTCTAGGACGCCCTGTCCCCTTCTCTGTCCTGGGTGACAGCCTCCCTGTCACTGCTGGTGATGGCCAGAGCTCCCCCTTCACACCAACCACCGGGATCCCAGCAGAGGCCCACCCTCACCTGGCCCTCACCCTCACCTGGCACCCACACGGACTGCTCGGATGTGAAGTGCTCGCCTCTGACCACACGCCCTGAGACCCCTACCTCTCCTGCCTCGCCACATCTCCGGCCGCCGGCTCTCCGCCCCCTTTGCCGCTGGCCTCCTGGCCGGCAGCCCCTCAGGCCTGCCGACCTCCCGGCCTGGGCCCACGAGGGGCCGGGCTGCCCTCAGGCTCCCTGCCCCCAGGCCTCCGGCCACAGCTGGCTTCCCCGGGGAGCCTGAGCACACCAGCCACCACCTGGCAGCTGAGGAGAAGGGACACTGAGCCCGTCCACCGGGCCCACCTCGCCATGGCCCTCACGTGGCTCAGCAGCCCTTCTCCGTCCCCACCCCCACCCGGCAACTCACTCCACGAGCCAGAGGGCTGAGCCCCACGCTGCCTCCTCCGTCCCTCTGACACTCTCCCATGTAGCCGCCTCCCTCGGGATCTCAGACTCGGCCCCCAGGGCGTCTACCTCTTTGTTCTTGGTGACCTCAGATGCTCAGGACATCAGGGACCCCCTGTGGAAAACGCGAGCCTGAAACCCACAACTCCAAATCTGTCGTGGACATCACCACCCAAGTAACATACCAGCACCCCAAACTCAGCCTGCCAACGCCCAAATTCATCATGTTTCTTCCCAAGCAAGATTCCTGTCTCTTTCCTCAGCCGTGCTTGGCAGGGCCATCATCTGCTGGGCACCAAAGGTCAAAATTCCTGTTGCTTTGACTTCTTTCTTGAATAATAATGACAATGATCATCATTGCTAACGTTGATTGGACACTGTTACCAGCAAATCACTGTTCTAAGCATTTCGCTTACATTAATATATGTCTCTATTTATGTTTCTATGCTATTATTATCTAAACGGTCCCTGTTATTTCTATATTATCATCACACCCATTTTCCACAGAGGTCGACAGAGGCAGAGAGTTTAGGCCTGTGAGAGATGGAGCCAGCATGTGAAGCCAGAGAGTTTAGCAACAGAGCCTGCATTCAGCTGATCATTGTGTCACTGAGACCTTTGCAACTTCTCTCAAACCTCACTCTGCATACTCACTTCCGTCCTGCCACCCTTCTCCGGCCCTCTCTGCTTGGCTGGGTCACTTTATGGTGCCACTAGCCCATGTCCCCATCCCCAGCCTCCTGTCTATTAACTCACCCCTTGCTCTGCCAGCCGCGTGATCTCACTGAAGCAGAGCTTATGGGTCTCCCCGAGGAAAGACCCGAATCAAGGTGGGACCACCTACTGCCCAAGTCTCCGGCAGCCCTCTCCCTGTGTCTCAGCCCAGCCCCGTCTGCCAGCCCAGGACACCTTCCTCTCACCCCTCAACACTCGCGGCCCCCTCCTGCCTGTCTGCCCCCAGACCCTCACTAGTTCCCTCGCCCCTCAGCGCCCAGCTCGCGGGCCCCCCTCCTAACCACCAGTGGGATCTGCCAGGAGGGGGCCTTCCGGAGCATCCTTGGGGCAGCTTGTTCAACTGACACTGCTGCTGTGAACTGTGTCTGTGTCCCACCTTCTGCTTGTGACCCCAAACCAGCTCTGACCCTGGCTCCTAAAGCGAACCCAAGCCCTGGTCTGACTTTATCCGGGATGGGAGATGGAGGAAGCCTACTGTAGTGAGTGACAGCCTATCTCTTGGTGTCCAAAGACCTAGATTTGAATCCCAGCCCACCACTTACTCACAACGTGACCTTGACGTGTGACCTGACTTCTCCGAGCCTCCACGCACTGTCTCTAAGCAAGAGGTAATGATGCTCCCTTGCCAGGCTCATTCGAGGAGTATCACAGGGAGAAAGTGGCTAGCACAGTACATGGAACACAGCTGGTGCTTCATAAACGACAGCCAGTATATCTGCTGATGCTACTTCTCATCACAGGACAAGGCAACCGACAGGGGAGGAGAATCTGGCTCCCCGAGCAGCAGATACCTGCAGCTGGGCTGCTCTTGTCTAGCATACAATGCACAGTCTCCAGGGTACTTACTTGGTTCTGTCTGTTTCTCTGCCACATTTCAGAGTACCTAAAAAAGGCAGACATTTTCATCTCAATTAAAGAAATGAAAAGAGAAGCTGAAATCTGAGGTCAATGACGGCCTATTAGAGACCTGACTTTGGAAGATTATACCAGAGCCCCACCAAGGTGGGATTACCCACTATCCTAAGTGGGTAGAAAATCAAATTTTCTACAGAGTTCCTCCAGAGAGTTACTCAGAAATTGACCAGGCAGGATGTGATAGAAAAATAAATACAAAAACTGTTGACCAAATGGTTAATTTTCCAGTGCCTTGTGCACAAGGCTAGAGATGAAGGGAAGTCTAGGAGAGTCTGGACGAGCACCGCCAACAGAAACATCATGCAAGCCCCATAAGCAATTCAACATTTTTAGTAACCATATTACAAAGTGAAAAGAAATAGGTGAGTTTTCATGATATACTTCATTTGCTCCAATGTATCAAAAATAGAAAAATACTATCATTCCAACATATCCTCAATATAAGCCTTATTAATTAGATATTTTACATGCTTTCACACCAAGTCTTAGTAATGTGGTGTGTATTAGACAGGCACAGCACATCACGATTTGGACTCCCACTTTTTTTGTTTTGTTTTGTTTTATTGGTTCTTTTCTGAGTTGGAATCTCACTCTGTCCGTCCCCCAGGCTGGAGGGCAGTGGCATGCTCACGGCCACCGCAGCCTCAGCCTGTTGGGCTCAATATTCCTTCTGCCTCAGTCTTCCAAGTAGCTGGAACTACAGGCACACGTCACCATGCCTGGCTGATCTTTTGACTTATTGTAGAGATGAGGCCTTACTAAGTTGCCCAGACCGGTTTCGAATCCCTGGGCTCAGGCAATCCTCTCTCCTCAGACTCCCAAAGTGCTGGGATCACAGGTGTGAGCCACCGTGCCCAGTGGACTCCCACGTTTTGAATGCTCCAAAGCCACATGTGACTCGTGATGCCCACCCTGGACATGAAGGCAGTACCCACGCATGCACGCACACAAAAGGCATCAGCCCTAGCCCAGATCTTCACTAATGGTCCAGAAACCTAGTGGGCAGGGTTGACTAGAGCTCACAAAGTTGTCCATCAATGACAGTCATGCGGCTGGAGTTGTTAGTATTCGACTCTTTCCGAAGGCTCCATGCCAAATGCCTCACAATTTCCAGTTAATAACTTTAAGGTTGACATGCTTGCTGACATGTTTCTTTAGAACTATTTTTTTCCTCAGGTTATCCAGGGCTAACAGTATTGACTACTGAGCTAATTTCTCTACAATGAATGACCTGTGTGTGTTTAAAGTTAAATCAACCAAGTGTTCTGAAGTTTTATGGCACTCAGTGCAACCTCTCCTTAGTTCAGGCATCCTGGCTATAAGCCCGCAACAATATTGAGTGGAAAATGATTCTGGCTTTCTGAGAACCAACTTGTTAAGAAGACAATTAACTATAATATTGCTACTTGGAGATTTTAAATCTTTTTTTTTTTTGAGTTGGAGTCTCACGCTGTCGCCCAGACTGGAGTGCAGAGGCACACTCACAGCCACCACAGCTTCGACCTGCTGGGCTCAGGCAATCTTTCCGTCTCAGTCTTCCAAGTACACAGGCATATGCCACCACACTCGCTAATTTTTTATTTATTGTAGAGACAAGGTCTCACCATGTTGCCTAGGCTGGTCTTGAACCCCTGGACTCAGGCAATCCTCTCACCTCTGCATCCCAAAGTGCTAGGATTACAGGTGTGAGCCACCACTCCCAGTCTCAAATATCTTAACAACAAAAAAAATTAAGCTCTCAAAATATTTTCTGTATTGGGTAGTACCTCAAAACTTTCTTCAGATGCTTGTTATAACATTGGGTAAAGCCAACTGACGGTTAACCTATTACTTAGGGATCTCCATGGTATTTGCGATATAGAATATGAAAAGGGTCTCCTCAGGAAATTATATTCTAGTGCCTGTATCCCAAAATGATCCATGTCAGCATGGCTAAGAGGACTTTCTGCAACGATAGAATTACTCCACATTAGGGGTATCCAATATAGTAGCCACTAGCCAGAGGTAGCTACTGAACACTGAAAATATGACTAGTGTGACTAAAGAATGAACTTTCAACTTAATTTCAGTTAATTAAATTTTACCCTGAAATCATCACTAGAGGCTATCGGCTTCTATATCAAACAGTGCAGGTTGAGGGGAACCGAAATCTAGTTTGCAGACGTGATTCAAGACATGAGTGTGAAATGACACGGATCCTAGATGCTGTCACCCTGAAGAAAGCATCCTCTTCAGCATACCGTTGGGGCATAACAAGTTAGCCTACCAATATATATCCTGTGTGTGGCAAAGGCTGATATGAAAACTGCTAAGGCACCAAAAATATCGACTCTTCCAATTTACAACCTGGTCCATGTCTTTTGGGACTTGAGAGGGGTTCCTTGTCACCAGGAAAGAAGAGGCTGGGAACGGGTTGCCAGTTCTCCAAGCTGTATGGCTACCCTAAGGTCTCTGGGGCACTGAGAAAGGCTTGGGGAGTAACACCAGCATAACTGTTCCCCTCTTCAAGTCACTCAACTCAACAAAAACTCCTTTCCTACCTGACAGTCCCAGCTAGACATGTCAATTACATGCTATCAGATATGTCAATTAGAAAGATAGCAGTCAAGAGGAAAAGGTCTTTAGCAGACTGACTCGGAGACTAGAAGTATGACTATATGTTGAAGCAGACCCCAGATAAAAGGAGGCCATGGAACAGTCCAGGAGTCAACAGTCCTATAGGGCTCCCGTGGCCTGAGGATTCATTCCACCCTAAGATAATGCAGAATCTTTGGAGAAACCTGGCATGCTCATCAATCCCAGAAAACAAGTAAAACAGAAAAGATTCAAATGTCTAAAATTTCAAACTTTGTTTTCATCTTCTTTTTTACCTTTGAAAATCAGTTTGAAAACTGGTTTTTAAAAAAGCATACATACCGTTTCTATATAGCACAATACATGTTATAATTATGGCAAAAGGTGCTGCTATGAGGGGAAGCCTATGCCTCGAGTGAGCTGTAAAAAAAAAAAAGAAAAGAAAAGAAATTCAGTTAGCTGAAGTGATCAAAACAGACTGCTTTTTTGCAGACTCCTCCTTGCAATTTACTTACTTGCTAAAATTGATTAGAAATCCTCAAAACAATACCCATAGCAGATCTTCTCAAACATGAGCATAGTGGTGAAAAATCAGTCACCCAACATGCACGCCCCCTGGTTCAGCTCTTACACAGTCAACAAGTGTCCTATCTGCAGCCTATTCAGTGCCATGATTTTGCATTTTTATGCTTTTTGTTGGTGACTTCACTGTTTAAAATGGCCCCCAAGCATAGTGTTAGTGCTGACTGGTGTTCCTAAGTGCAAAAAGGCTGTGATGAGCCTCGTGTCACTTAAGAGTTATATAGCACCATTGGCTAGGAGTTCAACATTGATGAACCAACAATATATAACAGAAATATTTTTAGTTTCTTTTCAAATGTCTAACATTTCAACCATTGGGCCCAAAGAGCATGCAAATTGCTATTGGATTGGCTCTTAATTCTAGAACATTTCAGTGGACAGAATAGGAAATACATAATTTTTTAAAAAGATAAAATATACTAGGGGGTCATGCTGGCATTATGTTGAGTCCCATTATTTGCCAAGATTCAACATTTTTGTTTACCTTAGGAAGAGCAATTTCATATGGTTCAAATTAATACTTCCAAATAAATCCAGGACTACAGTTTTTACTTAATCTGATCACTCTTACATCTGAATCTCCTTTCATGCCAAACATCTCAATATTCATTGACACCAATACAACAATTCATTTGCTTTTTCCCAAAATATATGCACAACAGTCTCCAAATACCAACATTTCCACCAACTATATGGTTATTAAACACAGGTTACAGTTTTTTTCCTTGCAGTTTTTATCCTTAGAGTATATCCTCAGGAAACACACAACTAAATTACTATGTTTTAAAAACACTTGGAAAGCTTTCTCTGTTTGGGATTTTTCCATCAACTTGATTCACAGTTCAGCACATTAGTTCCATTTGGCTTTATATATATACACACACACACACACATTTATTTTTTTAGGTTCACAGCAAAATTGAAGTTACAGAAATTTTACATAGCCATCCTGCTCCTACACATTCATAGCCTCTCCCAGTATCAACATTTCTTACCAGAGTGGTACATTTTTTTGTAATTATTGACGTTCTTTTTAATCCTGAATAACATTCCACTGTCTGTATGTACCACAGTCTATGCGTATTTATCCATTCACCGACTGAAGGACATCTTGGTTGCTTCCAGATTTTGCCAATTGTGAATAAATTTGCTATAAACACACATGTGCAGGTTTTTATGCAGACACAGGTTTTTAACTCCTTTGGGTAAATACCAAGGAACATGATGGCTGGATTGCATGGCAAGAGTACACAGTTTTGTAAGAAACTGCCAAGCCATCTTCCAAGGTGGCTGTACCGTTTTGTATTTCCACCAGCAACACATGAGGATTCTTGTTGCACCACATTCTAACCAGCATGTGGTGCTGTCAGTGTTCCAGATTTTGGCCTTTCTGACGGATGTGAAGTGGCATCTCATTGCTGGTTTAATTGTATTTCCCCAATGACATACTCGTAGGATGTGGTGCATCTCTTCATGTGCCTATTTACTGTCTGTCTATCTTCTTTGGAGAGGTGTCTGCTAAGGTCTTGGCTCATTTTTATATTAAGTTATTTGTGTTCTTGTTGTTGAGTTTTTAAAGTTTTTTGTATATTTTGGATAACAGGCCTTTATTGGATGTCTTTTGCTCATATTTTCTCCTACTCTGTGGCTTGTCTTCTTATTCTCTTGAAATAATCTTTCACAGTGAAGAAGTTTTTAATTTTAATGAAGTATAGCTTATCAAGTATTTTTCTTTTTCTTTTTTTTTTTTTTGAGTTGGAGTCTCACTCTGTCGCCCAGACTGGAGTGCAGTGGCCATTCCCAGCCACCGCAGCCTCGACCTGCTGGGCTCCGGCGATCCTTCCGCCTCAGCCTTCCAAGTAGCTGGAACTACAGGCGCGTGATACCACGCCCGGCTAATTTTTGATTTATTGTAGAGATAAGGTCTTGCCAAGTTGCCCAGGCGGGTCTCAAACCCACGGGCTCAGGTGATCCACTTACCTTGGCCTCCCAAAGTGCTGGGATGACAGGCTGAGCCACCAAGCCCGGCCAAGTATTTTTCTTTCTTTCTTTTTTTAAGTTGACATCTCACTCTGTCACCCAGGCAGGAGTGCAATGGCACGCTCACAGCCACTGCAGCCTCAACCTGCTGGGCTCAGGTGAGTCTTCCGCCTCAGCCTTCCAAGCAGCTGAAACTGCAGGCATGTGCCACCACACCTGGCTAATTTTTCTTGATTTATTGTAGAAATGAGGTCTCACCAAGTTGCCCAGGCTGGTCTCGAATCCCTGAGCTCAGGCAATCTTGCCTTCTCCTCCCAAAGTGCTAAGATTACAGACGTGAGCCACTGCACCTAGCCTCAATTATTTCTTTCATGGATCATGTCTTTGGTGTTGTATCTGAAAGTCATCACTATATCCAAGGTCATTTAGGTTTTCTTTTATGTTATCTTTCAGAAGTCTGCAGTTTTGCATTTTACATTTAGGTCTATGATCCATTTCGTGCAAAATTTTGTGAAGGGTATAAGGTCTGTGTTTAGATTTTTTTTTTTTTTTTTTTTTGCATGTAGATGTCCAGTTGTCATAGCACTATTTGTTGGAAAGACACTCTTTTCTCTATTGTATTGCTGTTGTCCCTTTGTCAAAGATCACTGACATATTTATGTGGGTCTATTTCTGAATTCTCTATTCCATTCCACTGATCTACTTGTCTATTATTCCACCAACACTACACTGTCTTGATTTCTGTAGCTTTATAGCAAGTCTCAAAGTTGGGTAGTATCAGTCCTCCAACTTTGTTCTTCTCCTTCAATATTTTGTTGGTTATTCTGGGTCTTTTGCCTGCCCATTTAACTTTAGAATCAGTTTGTTAATATTCACAAAATAACTTGCTGGAATTTGAGGTAAGAATGCATTGAAGCTATAGATTAAGTAGGACAGAACTGAAATCTTGGCAATATTGAGTTTTTCTACCCATGAATATGGAATATCTCTCCATTTATTTAGTTCTTTGATTTTGTTCATTAGAGTTGTGTTGTTTTCCTCATATAGCTCTCATATATATCTTGTTAGATTTATACTGATTTATACCTAAGTATTGCATTTTGGGGGTACTAATATAAAATGGTATTTTGTTTTAATTTCAAATTCCACTTGTTTATAACTGATAAATAGGCAAGTGATTGACTTGTTTATTAACCTTGTATCCTGCGACATTGCCATAATTGCTTATTAGTTTCAGGAGGTTTTTTTGTACGTGTGTGTTAATTCTTTTGGATTGTCTATATAGATGGTCATGTCCTCTATGGACAAGAACTTTTATTTTTTTCCTTTCCGATCTGTATACCTTTTATTTCATTTTCTTGTCTTAATGCATTAGCTAGTACTTTCAGTACAATGTTGAAAAGAAGTGGTGAGAAGAGACATCCTTGTTTTATTCCTGACCTTAGTGGAAAATCTTCAAGTTTTTCACCATTACAGATGATGTTAGCTGTAGGTTTTTTGTAGATATTTGTTATCAAGTTAAAAAGTTCCTCTCTATTCCTAGTTTACTGAGAGTTTTATCATAAATGGATGTTGGATATTGTCAAATGCTTTGGTACAATCATGTGATTTTTTTCTTTTTAGCCTGTCAGTGTGATGGATTACATTAATTGATTTTCATACACTGAACCAGTCTTGCATACCTGAGATAAATCCCACTTAGTCACGACGTATGTCTTTTTATATACACTGTAGAATTAGATTTGCTAATTAGATTAGTTTCCATGTGTTGTCTTTGTCTGGTTTTAGCATTAGGATAATGCTGGCCTCATAAAATGAGTTAAGAGCTACTATCTCCTGGAAAAGATTATAGAGAACTGATATAGTTTGTTTTTCTTAAGTGTTTGGTAGAACTCACCAATTATCAAATTTGTGGGCATAAAGTCGTTCTTCGTATTCCTTGATTATCCTTTTAATGTCCATGGGATCTGTACTGATGCCTCCTCTTTCATTTTGATATTAGTGTCTGTGTCCTATTTTTTTCATGGCCTGGCCACAGGCTTATCAGTTTTATTCATCTCTCCAAAGAACCAGTCTTTGATTTTGTTAATTTTCTCCATTGAATTTCTGCTTTCAGTTTCATTGATTTCTGCCCTAATTCTTATTATTTCTTTTCTTCTACTTATTTTAGATTTAGGTAACTCTACCTTTTCTGCTTCTGATGGTGAAAACTTTAATGATTGATTTTAGTTTTTATTTTCTAATATACACTTGTATAAAAAAGCACTGCTTTCACTGCATCTCACAAATCTTGATAAGTTGTATTTTCATTTTCTTTAACTTCAAGATTTTTCATAAGATTTCTTCTTTGATTCATTTGTTATTTAGAAGTGTGTCATTTGAATACAATGCATATTATTTGAGTGATGGGTACCCTAAAGTCCTGACTTGACCACTACACAATCTATGTGTGTAGGAAAATTGCACGTGTACTCCCCTTTATAAACAAGCAAACAAATAAGTCAAAGTATGTTGTTTAATTTCCATGTATTTTGGAATCTTTTAGCTATCTTTCTGTTATTTATTTCTAGTTTAATTCCACTGTGGTCTGAAAGTAAACACTGTATAATTTCTACTCTTTTCAATAGGTTGTGTTTTATGGCATAGAATACAGTATATCTTGGTATGAACTCGAAAGAAAATATATTCTGCTATTATTGAATGAAGTCATCTATAAATGTCCATTATATTTAGTTGATTGACAGTGTTGATGAGTTTATGCTTTTACTGATTTTTTGCTTGCTGAAGCTGTACATTTCTGATAGAGGGGTTTTGAAGTTTACAGCTATGATAGTGGATTCATCTATTTCTCCTTGTAG